AGTTTTTCCACCATCAGCTAACACTGTTGATATTTAAGGCATTTCTGTGAAGCTTTCTGTTTTGCATATGCGCATGCGTGTTTACATACCATGCAGTCATGCACACAGGCACACTGGTACACACACATGTATGTCCACACACAACCACAACCAGACCCCCATGCACACAATCACATGTGTATTTACATACCATGCAGTTGTGCACACAGGCACACTGGTACACACACATGCATGTCCACATACAACCACACACCAGACTCTCATGCACACAATCACATGTGTATTTACATGCCATGCAATCGTTCGATTTCTTTTTTTTTTTTTTTTTTTTTCGTTTTTCAAGACAGGGTTTTTCTGTAGCTTTGGAGCCTGTCCTGGAACTAGCTCTTGTAGACCAGGCTGGCCTCAAACTCACAGAGATCCACCTGCCTCTGCCTCCCGAGTGCTGGGATTAAAGGCGTGCACCACCACTGCCTGGCTCATACCATGCAATCGTGCACACAGGCATACTGGTACACACACACACACATGCATGTCCACATACAACCACACACCAGACCCCCATGCAAACAATCACAAATGCACTTCTGTTTGTTTTAAATGAGGCTTGAGATTGTGCTACACAACTTTGTGTTCTGGTCTCCCTCCATGACCACAGCTTCATCCCTGTCTGAACCCACAGGACGTTGCTCTTCTTTGAAGATACCATGCCATGACCTAGTTCATAGCTGTGGAACCACTCCACGACTGCTGAAATTAGGTCCTTGCTACATAAAGCCTTAGCCACGTCTGACATTTGGATTTCAGGATAAAATCCCAATTGCTCAGGCCAGAGCCATAAACATTTGTGTGACTCTAAGTATTTATTTGAATTTTAAAACAGACTACCTCTTATTTATTCTTTGACAGTTGCATACATGTAAACACTGTATCTTGATTATATTCATTGTATATTATATCTACCCGCCTGTCTACTCTCTATTATTCTGTGGTGCTAGGCTTGGAACCCAGTCCCTCATGCCTCTTAGGCAAATGTTCTATCAATTAGTTCCACTGGGCTCTTGATGAGAAAGGTCAATTTTTTTTTTTATTTTTGTTTTGTTATTTTTTTTAAACACAGACTCTCTATTTTGACTGTTAGTATTTTTTTTTCCTGCTTCAAATTCTAAATGACTTATATAACCAGAGTTTTCACTCTGCTGGAGAGCTCTGGTTCTGGGTCAGACTTACTTCCTTTCCTTTCTTTCCCTTTCCTTCCTTCCTTTTTTTTTTTAAATTAGGATTTCACTGTGTAGCCCTGGCTGCCTGGAACTTGCTGTGTAGACTGCACTGGCCTTGAACCGCCTCTGCCTCCAGAGCGCAGACTGTAGTCATCTTTCTTTTCCCCATTTTAGGGATAATGGGCACTCACTTTCTCCTTTATTCTTTTATAATTTTATATTTCACACTGTCTTAGTTAGAGTTTCTATTGCTATGAAGAGACACCATGGCCACTGCAACTCTTATAAAGGAAAACATTGAATTGAGGGCAGCTTACAGTTTCAGAGGCTTAGTCCATTATTGTCAGGTGGGACATGGCAGTGTGCAGGCAGACATGGCGCTGGAGAAGGAGCTGAGGTCTACATCTTGATCCACCAGCAGCTGAAGGGGAGACTGTGCCCCGCACTGGGTATAGCTTGAGCATAGGAGACTTTAAAGCCTGCTCCCCCTACCCACAGTGACACACTTTCTCCAGCAAGGCCACACCTACTCCAACAAAGCCACACCTCTTAATAGTGCCACTTCCTATGAACCTGTGGGGCTATTTTCTTTCAAACCACCACACACATGTTTAAAATGCCATCTGACTTTTACTTTGACTGAGAGGCACAGTAACCTGCCTGGTGGCAAACCTCTTGTCTCCAGGGCCAGCCTGGTTCAGATAGGAGCCAGGCTACCTCACTGGAAGGTTATAGTGACAGGGTGTTTAGCATCTTGGAGGAAAGCGGCACAAAGGCTTTGGAGCCTCTGCCCCCCTGGTCATGGTCCACATTGTGTCTAGATCAGAGGCAGGTGCTTCTGACTCTGCACCTGAGTCCCATGGCCCCAGACACAGGCATCCACAGTGAGGTTGAACGGTGAAGGGTGGCCTCGACCTCCTGCCCAGGCAACACCCACCAGCGGCTCCCACCTGGGTCTAATGCAGGATAGAGCAAGAGCCCCAGGCAGGGTGGGTGGACGTGACATCCCAAGGGCACGTGATCCTGGAACACTGTCCTGGAACATGGTGTCCCCAGAAGCCAACTAACTCATCCTGGGACAGTCAGAGGCCAGCTCCGCCTTCCTCTAACACTCTTGACACAAAGCACCGGTTACATCACACGGACATTGCAGCTTTTTTCTTCTTTGCTAGAGTTTGAGTGTTAGGTGGATGAAGTCTAAAAGCTAGAGAACTTGATCTATCACCCTGTGTCCCCCAGCCTCTGCGGGCTCATTGATCACACAGGCCCACAGTTCCCCCTCCCCAGCCACTGGCTACCACTGCCCGGGAGGCTATGCCTGGACTCAGGTGGAGACCCTGTCAGCTCATTAACAGCCAGATCAAGCCTGGGAGTGTGGCCACTCCACCTCTTCCTCCCTTCCACTTCTCCTGACCCTTTCCCTTCCCTCCTTTCATCGAGTCCTCTCCTGGCTCATCAGAGCAGCATAGGCTTTCTCCATTATAATTGTAACTTTCCCTGAATAGGAATTCTCCAGCAGAGCTTTCTGTTTGTGCTGAGTGTGACAGGAAGGTCTCAGTGGAGGGCGGCTCCAACTTCCAGCTAGACTCGAGGGCCGGCAGGCCATCTATAGGCCTACCTCTGTAGCTGTGGGCCAAAGGAAGACAGAGCCAAGGTGTGACTCTGATAGTGGTCATGCCCAACCCCACCAGCCTCACCTCTCTTGAGTCCCAGAGAGACAGAGAGACTTGGAAGCTAGGCTTGGAATCACTCATGTTGGAAGCTGACATGTTACCCTCATTGTCAGCTTGTCGGAGGCAGCATCTCTGTCAGATGGCAGAGTGTGCTGAATGTGTCTAGTGTGTGTTTGTACATGCTGTGTGTTTTGTGTACATTGTATGTTGTGTCTGTAGCATGTGCATATATGCATGTGTTGTGTTTGATATGGTATGCATATTGGGGTGAATGTGTGAGGTAAATGTCTTACGCGTTTGTTGCGTGTGATGTGGAATGTGTGGTGGGATACATGTTTGTGGTGTGTACTTGGTGCATTTGTTCTATGTGGGTAGTGTACGTGCGTGTGTGTGTTTTTGTATGCGTGTGTGCATGCATGTGTATGTGCATGCGTGCGTGTACATATGTGTGTTCACGTGCATGGGTTTGTGTGTGCATGCATGTGTGTGTACTTGTGTCTGTGTGCGTGCATGTGCACATGTAAGTACTCATTATCATTGTTCTGGTACCAACCTCTGTCAGTGCTGGCCCAAAGAGACCCCAAGGCCAGATCTAGCAGGTACCAAGACTCTAGGGTAGTGATTGTAACAGAGATTCTGGTTATTCATCCAAGTCTTCCCAGGACAGTGGTTCTTATTACAAGTAGTCTTTTAGAAGCTCCAGCTTTAGGACTTTGTTCCTGTCAGGACGGTAGGGACATCTAGGATATATCAGGTCCCTCTGGGTGAGGACACACACTCTTACAGACCTTACTCTGATATCAGCTCTGGGGATGAAGCTATACTCCCCATTGCTCGAGCTTTTGCAGTTCATGGCCACCCCATCCTGTACTGTAGAGCAGTCTCTGAGGGGAGGAGAGGTGTGGTCCTCTCTGGGGATGGTATCCACCCCTTCAGTTGTGTGCTGACTCTGGTCACAGTGCCCTAAGTGGGCACTGGATCATCTGAACTCTGGAGAAGGAGGAAGCCTCTCAGAGAAATGGGGGCCCTGGAAAGAGGACTGAGGCCACCATAGAAATGAGTGTCAAGTAAGGGTGGAACAAACTTGGACCCAGCTCTGAGTTCTTTGAGACAAGAACTGGAATTGGACTTTATCAAGAAAAGAGGCTTTCAAAAGCTGAAGCCCCGCATCAGAGACGCAGTAAGGTTTGGGGTAAAGGAGAGGGACAGCACAGGGCAGGGGTCTCAGCTGGGTTAGGATGCTCGGTCCCATGGCCCACATCCTCAAGTGAATCACTAGTCAGTTTCTGGTTTTGCAGAGCTGAGGCCTCTCACAGGCTAAGCAAGTTTTCTGATACTGAGCTATATTCCCTGTGGCCAGCCACCAGAATCTACATCTGGAACATTGCATCACTCCAGAGAATCTACATCTGGGACATTGTATCACTCCAGAGACCCGCACTCCGAATCCTGCCACAAGAGTGCACCCGACCTTCAGCAAGAGTAAGGTACAACAGCCTCTGATGATCACCCTGAAGTGGGTGGACAGGTGTGGTCTGGTCATGGCAAGAGAAATGGCCAGCCAACAAAGGATGCCCTGAAGATGGTACTTGGGGCAGGGAAATAGTTTGTCCAGGAGCAGTGAAGCCAGGGCCTTATTGCTGTCACTGTGAGCCACGTTTGGGTTTTGACTATCTCATCCAAGAACTGTAGCCTGCAGGCTTCTTTTGTGTACGTGAGCTTCACTGCTAGCTGGGCAGTTTCTCCTCCCGGTCTACCCATGCCCCACCCCCAGCATCTCATAAACCTCCCCATTATCCGCCCTCCTTTCCACTTTAAATAAAGGGGAGGGCTCCCATTCACAGGCAAAGGCTTGGAAAGCAGGCATGCCCTCACCAAACGCTCAGGTGCTTCACACTGGGGATCCCCTGAGACCAGGCCCACCCCCATCCCAACTTCCAACCCCAGCACAGAGGCAGGGCAGACTGCAGAGTACAGGGTTTATTGTTCCTTGTGGGTATGGGGACAAGAAGCTACCTGGGGATGGGATAGGGGAGGGAGAGGGTAGAGCTTGGCTGCAGGGCCCTCACCAACCAGTAGAGGGGGGTCCTCAAGGCCGGAAGGGTTTTCTACAGATCGGGTTCACGGTCTGGCACTAGCTGCTCTGGGTAATAGGCTTTAGATGACTCAGTTCACCAGGGTCTACAGAAAGCGGGTCTGGGCCGCAGGGTCTGAAGACTCTGAGAGACAGGTTTGAAGGAGGCGCGGGTTGGCACTGCCACTGCGGGAAAGGTGCTGGAGTGAGCAGTAATGAAGAAAAAACAGGGAACGTTCCGGAAGACAGCTGAGAACGACGGACAAGATGGTTAGGTTTGAGTAGGGGATTCTGGGACGGGCTTCTCGGTGGCCTGGCTTTGGGTCCTTGCACGTTCAGACGAAGGCCCTACTAGGGGGAACTGGGGACAGCATGAGGGTCTCTGTGGTCTGCTGGCTGCTGGAGGACACCGAGCGGCCGGAATTCTGCTGGAGGTGGACTCGGCTGGGCAGGAAACTGCCAGCACTCCCTGGGCCACGGCAACTGCTACTACCCAGTGCTCGCTGGCGGCCACGCAGGTACTCGCGATAGTTCTTGGTGAGCAGTGTATAAAGGAAGGGATTGACGCAGCTGTTGCCGTAAGTGAGGCAAGTGGTCAGGTAGTTGACAATGCGTGCAGTCTGGGGTGCCAGTGGCATGGCCTCGTGGTACTGGGCCAGCAGCTGCCACAGCCAGAAAGGTAGGAAGCAGGCCCAGAAGAGGAGGACGATGCCAAAGATGAGGTAGAGCACCCTGGGGTTTGGCAGCCGCCGCGTCTGCTTGAAAGAGGCTTGCTGAGAGAGCCAGTAGGCCCTGGCCAGGCGGACATAGAGCAGCCCAATGACCAGGCCGGGCCCCACAATGCTGGTCCCGAAGAGAAGCGTCAGGTAAATACGGTGGGCACGAGGGCCCCAGGACGGCAGGCAAAGGCTCTTGGGGCCTCTGTGAACCAGCCGGATGGCAAGCATCATGGGTAAGGTCAGCAGCAATGCCAGCAACCAGGTGCCCAGTGCCAGCAGCTTACGGTAACCCTTGGAGCGCTGCACCGTGTCCAGAGGTCTCAGCACCGCTGCATAGCGCTCACTGCTCATTATGGTCAGAGTGAAGATGCTGGCGTGCATGGTGAGGAAGTCCAGGCTAAAGAGAACACGGCAGCCCGCATCTCCAAAGTGCCAGTCCTTCGTTACGTAGGTGGCTACGATGAAGGGGATGCTCATCAGGTACAGCAAGTCGGCCAGTGCCAGGTTGACCACATAGACATACATGGAGGCTGAGGCGTGCAGGAAGCGGCACATGACCACCAGGGTGTACACGTTTCCCACGATGCCCACCACACCCATGGCTGAGAGCACCGCCCCAATGGCACCCGTGGCCACCAGGTCTTGCAGGGAGCTGCGATCTGTTAGGCCAGTCCAGGAACTGTTGAGGGACACATTGGAGCCACCAGGCAACTCAGACACAGTTCCTGACACGGTCAGCGTGGGGAAATTGGTTGTAGACTCCAGGCTCAGCGCCATCTCTCTGTCCTCACACTGGGCTTCTGGTGGGAGTCCCACTGCTCAGAGAGGAGGGCCTGTGGGAAACGTGTCCTGTGGGAGAAGATTATTGTCAAAGGTGCAAGAGCGTCACTTCCATGCCCTAGCAGCCTCTACGAGGGACACAGTCACTGCCCCTCTGAAAAGAGACGAGGGCTCACCAAGTCCTGTGCCCTGTTGGAACCCTCAGAAGAACCCCCTTTGTGTCGTCTCCCCAGCTACACAGGGGACCCTATAGCCATTGGGACCCACTGTCCCCCAGGATACTCCCCAATAGGGTGCTAGTCTATCCCAATGCAAACGTAAGGCCTTTCTGTTTCTGAAAAGCTGGTCACAGCAAGGTCAGTGGTTGGCAGAGACAAGCGTCCTAAGTTCTTGCTCTGAAACCCAAGAGTCCCGTTTCCCATTTTATGTCACTTGTATGCTTTAAAGGGGTTTCTTCCCACCACAGAAGTAACATCTACCGAGCCTAAACGTTCCAATAGAAAAGTGGGTAAAGGCTTTTGGATTTTCATTTATCATATGAAGAAAATGAGCCTGGATCCCTGGCTCACATTACACACGCCGTGATGGAGGGCAGTCAATCAAAACAACCTTTGGAAGAAAATATTAGGATCCCCATGGCAGGAAAATATTTATTTTTTTCTAAAAAATTGTTTAAATTGCAGTCTTATTTGGTGTGCATGTGTGAGTGTGTGTGCACGTGTGAGTGCATGTGTGAGTGAGTGTATGTGTGCGCGTGTGAGTGTATGTGTGTGTGAGTGTATGTGTGCATGTGTGAGTGCGTGTGTGCGTGTGTGAGTGCGTGTGTGTGAGTGTATGTGTGCATGTGTGAGTGCGTGTGTGAGAGTGTGTGCGTGTGTAAGTGAATGTGTGAGTGCGTGTGTGCGTGTGCGTGAGTGCGTGTGTGAGTGCATGTGTGCATGTGTGAGTGCATGTGTGCATGTGTGAGTGCATGTGTGCGTGCGTGTGTGAGTGAGTGTGTGCGTGCGTGAGTGCGTGTGTGAGTGCATGTGTGTGAGTGTGTGCGTGTGTGAGTGCATGTGTGTGAGTGTGAGTGCGTGTGTGTGAGTGCGTGCGTGCGTGTGTGAGTGCGTGTGTGCGTGTGTGAGTGCATGTGTGCACATGTGAGTGTATGTGTCCGTATATGAATGCCACAGTGTTCATGTGGAGGTTAGGTCAACCTTTGGGATTGATTCTTTTCTTCTTTTCCATGCAGGTCTTCAGGCAAGCACCCTCATCCACGGAACCATCTTATCACCCCCCAGAAAATGGTTTTATTTTAAAACAAAGACTCACTATGCAGCTGTGGCTGGCCCGGAACTATGCAGGTCAGAATTTCAAAATGGCCTTGAACTCACAAAGATCTACCTGCTTCTGCCTCCTTCGTGTGCCACCATGCCCAACTTTTTAATTTTATTTTTTTATAGTACAGCCTCCCCCCCCTCTCAGATTTATTTGTTTTATATGTATGAGTGTTTTGCCTTCCCAAATGTATGTGCACAAGATAAATGCCTGGTATCCTCAGGGGCCAGGAAAAATCAGATACCTTGAAACTGGAATTACAGATGGCTGTGAACCATCCTCAAATGCAAACCAAACTCAGCGCCTCTGCAAGAGCAGCAGGTGCTCTCAATCACTGAATGATCTCTGTGGCTCAGGAAAATATTACTTAAAAACAAACTTAACTGGGGCTGGAGCAATCACTTGCTCTTGCAGAGGAACTGGGTTGGATTCCCAGCACCCACATGGCCGCTGTCTTAGTTAGGGTTCTATTGCTGCGAAAAGACGCTATGACCATGGCAACTCTTATAAAGGAAAACATTTAACTGGGGCTAGATTACAGTTCAGAGGCTTAGTCCATTATGGTCATGGCGGGAAGCATGGTAGCATGCAGGCAGACATGGTGCAGGGATGTGGGGTGAATAGCTGAGAGTTCTACATCTGGATCTGCAGGCAGCGGGAAGAGAATGAAAAAGTAGGCCTGGCTTGAGCTTCTGAGACCTCATAACCCACCCCAGTGGTACACTTCCTCTAACAAGGCCACACCTTCCAATAGTGCCACTCCCTATGAGCCACACTGCCACAGCCACTAATAGCCATCCGTCATTCCAGCTCCAGGGGATCTGACACTTTCCTCTGAACTCCTCAGGCACCAGGTACACATGTGGAGTACATACATATATTCAAGCAAAAACATTCGTACACATCAATAGAAATATGTCTTTAAAAAAACACAAAACCCCAAACTTCATCAGCTGAGGAAAAGATGTTCTGCATAGCTTGTTACCGTCAGAGAAATGCTAATCAAAACCACAAAGAAACTCTAAGAAACACACACACGTGTACACACACAGAGCGTGCCTGTGTTGTAGGATGTTTGCACACTGTGTGAAGGTGGGTTGCTGTGACTGGTGTAAAGAAAAGCTGAGCGGCCAACAGAGGCAGGAGGTCCTGGTGGGATCTCTGGGGAGAGAAAGGGAGAGGAGGAGGGATTTAGGTACACGGGAGTAGCCAGGAGACAAGGAGAGGAAACAGGAGGCACAAGATGGAAGAGAGGTAACACCACGTGATAGAACATAGATTAATATAAATGGGCTAATTCAAGTTATTAGAACTTAGGAGCAAACCTAAGCTAAGGCCGAGCTTTCATAGTTAATAATAAGTCTCTGTGTCATTATTTGGGAGCTGACTGGCGGAGCAGAAAAACACTCGTTACATGCCTATGTCCAGAAAGATCAGCGCACCTGTTGTTGAGTTATGGGGGTTATAACTAGAATCCTCAGGGACTCCAGTAGAGACCGTGAAATGCTACAGCAGCCTTGGAAAATTTTGGCTCTCCAACGAAGCGAAACAGGTGCGTTCCATGTCACCAGTGATCGCACTGACACTCCAAAGAACAGCAACTTCATGTCTAATGAGTTCGAAATAACCCAAATGACCATAAATAGCAGCAGCAATAGAATAAAGCAAAAGTTCCTTACAAATGACAGAAATGGAAAGCCTAGCACCGCAGTCTGGGTGAGCCGTGGTTCTGAAGGACAGTAGCAGGCAGGAGCTTAAATGTGGCTCCCTCTGAGAGCTAAGTTCATTAACGGAGAAGGTCACGGTTACAGGAGGTCAAAGCAGTGTGTGTGTGTGTGTGTGTGTGTGTGTGTGTGTGTGTGTAACACTGGAAGTCCCTGGGGCTAGATATGCACATTTCCCTGCCCTCAGTGGACCTCACACAGGTAAACTTGTAAAACAAACAAACAAACAACCCCCTCCCCCAACCAAAAAACTCTAAGCTCCAACCAGGGGTGGCAGCGCATACTTTTAATCCCAGCATTCTGGAGGCAGAGGCAGGCAGATCCCTGAGTTTGAGGTCAGCCTGGTCTACAGTGCGAGTTTCGAGTTCCAGGACAACCAGGGCTCAAAAGAGGTTTTAAAGAGAAACCCTGACTCAAAAAACCAAACCAATGAAAACAAAAACCCCTCTAAGCTTCATATATTTATTGTATAAGTATATTGGGGCTCTTGCTCGATTAGGTTGACCTCACAAGAAAAAGAAAGGCCTAGAGGGTGGACCTAAAGGGTGAACTTTCTGAGAGGAAGCAGATAGAGAAGACCCAGAGTTGCACAGGCCTCCCCAACATCCAGGCCTAGAAATGGCTTCTAGGAGAGATCTTTCCCCTCAGCAAAGCGGAAGAATCAGGCAGGTCTAGGGTGAGGAGACATGATCTCCACACCTGCAGCTACTAGTTTCGTCTGCTCCGAAGCCCTTTCCCCATTGCTGTCTCACCTCACAGGTCAGCCCCAGAGACGCGGGGGTCCTCCTGCCCGGCTAGGAAGGCGAAAGGAAGCAGAAGCCACGACTGCCCCTCCAGTCACCGGTCCAGGGAGGGTGAAACTTTCCAATGCGTGCGCTGCCGTGAGACCCACCAAACCTCGAGTAGCACACAGGCGCTCCCTGGCACTCCCGGGACTCCGGCGGGCCGCGCCCTCCGGGATCGAGAAGTGCAAGCTGGGTTAGGGGTTGGCGGACGCCCCGCGCGCCCAGGTCCATGCGCCCGGGGTTGTGCAGCCCGCGACCGTGTGCTCACCTCTGTCTGTCACGAAGCCATCGGTTGCCTCCCAGCCCGGGGCTTAAGAGAGGCGCCCTCGTCCAGTCACTCAGACACTCGAGACCCAGTGACCATCACCGCGCGTGCAGGTTGGCTAATGTCACTCGCGCGGAAGGAATGTCTGTCCCCGAGCGCTCTCCAGGCGGGGCGGCGGGGCACACGGTGCGGTGTGGGTCTCCCGCCTCCTGAGAGTTCCACACCACGCCGGCTCCTGAGCTGCAGCAGCCACCTGTCCCCCTGCCAGCTGGGAATGTGCCGGTCCGGGTATTAATAACTGGCCGCGCAGGCCCTCGGGAGGGCTCCTCCGCGGAGATGGGCGCCGGACCTGGGCCGAGGTCGCTGCCACAGAGGGGTTGGCCAGGCGCGGATCCCAGAAAAGCAGCGCACTGCCATTCGGCTTCCTGACTGCCTTTCTGCTACACGGAAGGATCTTTGTGTATGCTGGGGGGTTCATTCTCTCCATACCTCATTTAACCACCAGTGTCAGAGCAAGGCTCGAAGATTTATGAGTTACTGTAAAGAGCCGTGAGCGTGAATAGGGGGACAACCGTGGGACCATGATTAATCAGTCATTCTCAAAGTAGACAGGTGCCTAGGTTTGGGTAGCAACCCTGTAGTCTTCCGGTTGCTGACATCGAATGATGTGGTTGCTTCTACATTCTCTAGGGCTCAGTCTTCTGGGAGAGACCATATCAACAAACTTGGGATATAGGGAGCCACTCTCCAGTCTACCCTTATCTGTGGCGGAGGTCCCGTTAAAAGCATCCTGTGGAGTGGCTAACCCCAGCTGATAAAGATGAGTCCCCCATGGCTCTGGGACTGGGAACCAGACCATCATAGAAAACAATGCACAGAGATTACTCTGTGGGGTTCCGCTTCCTATGCGGAGCTCAGATGTGGGGTATAGGAGGGGGGAGTCGCTTGTTTGACCCGGCTGCCCAGTCCCGAAATAATCACACAGAAACTGTATTAATTAAATCACTGCTTGGCCCATTAGCTCTAGCTTCTTATTGGCTAACTCTTACATATTAATTTAACCCATTTGTATTAATCTGTATATTGCCACATAGCTGTGGCTTACTGTGTAAAATCCCCAGCGTCTGCCTCTAGCGGCTCCATGGTGTCTTTTTGACTCCACCTTCCTCCTCCCATGCTATAGCTCAAGCCAGTTCTTTATTCATTAACCAATAAAAGCAACACATAGACAGAAGGACCTCCTACACGATTGGGGTCTGAAGGGAGGCCTTGACTGAGGAGGCTTGAATGAGGCCTCAGGGTAGTTCCCCCAGCCTCATTCCCTTTGCTCACACTCCTCTGGTTCAAGCCTCTCCTCTTCTGTGCCACCCTGTACACCAAGCACTTTAAATCCTGGTTCCCACCTCAGGATCTGTACTTCCAGCCAGGAGAGCGAAAAAGCCTTCTGGTGGGCAACTGCCGTTGACCATGCCAGAGGAACAGCGAGCTGTAATTGAAGTTCCAGGGGTCAGTCCACCAGAAGCGAATCCTCTCATGGGTCAGTCTCGTTTAGGCAAGGTCACGAGTCTACAGACCCTGGCATGTCTTCTGCTTCTGCTGTACCTTTACATGTTAGCTGCGGCTCTTCCTCTGGTGTCTAGCATGGTGTGAGTGGATGTGAGATCTCCACTGCCTGTGATATAGTGTGTTTATCTCTTGGAAATACCCCATTCTACCGGACATTTTTTATCTTTTGTGTTGTCAAGAAGATGACCCCCGCAAGCTATACTGCCTAATAATAATAATAATAATAATAATAATAATAATAATAGCAGCAACAACAGTAGCTTATAGAGAGTTTTGATGAATAAAAAGGGTTGTTTACAGCCAGGGTCTGTGCGTCTCACCTAAGGAGCTGCATGGATTGTGACTCAAGTTGATGACTAACAATTGAGTCCCAATAGCCCAGCTAGTTTAAATTCTTTTAATCCTTAACGTTGGGAGATGTGTTCACAGGTCTCGGGGTGCATCACAGCGGAAACAAAGCTTTGAAAATAACAAAGTTACTCTGACATGGGTCTCTGCCTCTGTTTCCATCTGTTGTTGGATGAAGGTTCTATAGTGATATATATGTGGGTATCCCAGAAAGCCACCGCCACATAGTGGCTACTACTTTGCTGGCTCCACCATGGCCAGAGCCACTAGGAAAGGATTCTAGCTAGCATGGACGCAAACCATGTGGTGGGGTCTTTATTTTTCTAGGCCACACCGGAACAAGGCAAAACCAAGCCTGGAGGGAATGTGGGTATACCCAAAGGGAAGGCACTAGAACCGACAGTCCCACTCAACAGTTAGTCATGGAGACTTCACACGACGCCATTCCTGCTGCTTGGACCCCTCCCCACACCTGGACGGAGGATGGTAGCAGATGCAGTCTCTGTCTCATCAGCGTCTCCTCGCAAAGATCATACCTGTTGGCGGCTGGGCAGTCAGTTGCTCCCTGAAGCGTTCTGGCACCAGTAACAAGGCGGTCACTAGGCATCCGCCAGCCATCCTAGGCAATGAAGGACAGTAGGGACCCTCGCCCCTCACTTGGTCACGGAGCTGCCTTCCCCACTTGGCAACCCCTCTGCTGCAACTTCCTGATGAGTTCCAGTGGGCTCATCTGCAGCGTCAGTGCCTAAGGATTCGTGGTCACGTAGAAACCAGCTACTGCTGCCTTCTCCAGCGTGCTCTGCTGGTCGGCAATCTTCCGGTCCAGTTCCAGGACAATCTTACAGTCCATTGTCTGCGGCTCCTCCCGGATTCGATGCTCTGCTGCTGGGTTGCCTGGAGCATGGGCAAGTTGTGGGGCCGGTAGGTCTGCTGGGTTTCCAGATGCTTCTGCCTTAGGGTCTGCCTGAGCACTCGGTGTTCGTTCTGCAGCCGCAGTCGCAGTAGCAGGCTCTTCTCGGTGAGATGCTGGATCTCCAGAAGCCCCTGCAAGATCTCGAACACAGTGCCGTCGAGCACCCTAAAGATTGAAAGTAGAGCTGACTGATTCTTTTTCATATATAAAAGTTTAGGTTTGTGATTCCTTTAATATTCCATATAAGATTACCTTTCAAAATAAGTAATAAAGTAATTGGCCCTTCCTTTGAAACTGCAAAAGGCAGCCTGCTAGTAAAAGACCTGACAAGAACACCTCGCTTGACACAATGGTTAATGTATAAGAAGTTGCTTGGTTATAAATATATGTTGGTTTTCGGAATAACTTGTTTTTCACCAGTTATAAATAAAATGTTTAATCATGTGAGGGAGATGAAAAACATGTTTTTACCTATAATCATTCACTTGAAAAATGGAAGGCAGCTGTTTTGACTCTTGTACTGCCTGGGAGATTCTATTGGGGTAGAAAAGCTGTAAAACAACACGATATAGGAGAGAGAATAAAGAAGATAAAGAACAAAGAAGGAAACCATCAAGAGTGTTTGATGGGAATCCACGGAGTCAGCCAAGTTAGACTTTTCTATTTGAGGGGGTTTAGGGAAAAAGGCAGTCACAAACTCCCGTGCTGCTGGAGGCTGGACCCCAGACCGCAGTAGGCATCTCTCTGGGGTATAGGGCCACTGGGCCCCACTTTCAACTGTGTCTGTGCCATAGGTAGAGAGGGACCCCTGGAAGCTGGGAAGGCCCCAAATAACAGGGAGTGATGAGAAGTCACATCTGCAGTCTCCTTACAGCGGAACCAGAGCCTGAGCTCAGGCTTGATGAGAGCCTAGACTATGGAGAAAGGCCCCTAGAAGCCAATGGTTTACCTAGGGGAAGCTGTCCAGGTCAGTAAGCCCAGATATATGGATGTCTACAGGCCAGATACATGAATGACCAAGGATGGTCACAGTTGTTTCTTGGTTCTCTGCACTTCTAGCAGCAGCTATGAGCCCTTGCCGTTTGACATCATTTCCCCTTCTAGTACAGCTAGGCAAGCACTCCTCCGAGCTCAATCCCAGCCCAGTCCTTGATCCTACAGAGCCCCAAGCCACAGGGCAACACCATTTTCTGAAGGACCAATGCCTATCTAATGTGGATGCTGGACAAACTCCGTGGACAATAGAGTTGCTGGGTCATCCCAAGAATGGTTAGCAGAGGTGAGGGCACAAGCAAGGGGTTCAAAGGGAAAGCTCAGAGCCAGAAATGGGAGGTCATCTGAGAACCCTTCTCAGGGGCACAGGGGGGAACTTGAGAGTCCACAGGGGCTCAAGTGCTCACACAGACCTGGGCTGTCCAAAGGCAAATGCTTCCCACAGTACCCACATCTATTGTGCTCTGAGAAGAAGCACCCTACCTATCTGCAAGTCACTTCATGGGCCATTGAATCATACGCTGCGATTGCGCTGCCTGCACTTTCTCTAAATGTGACTTCTAAAGCTGTGCTCTGCACATAATGGCTTCATTATGTCTGAGAACGATAATTTCTCTGAAAGAACTCATTTCTAATTGCATTACCACACTCTGCAAAAAAAAAAAAAAAAAAAAGAGGCTTTATGGGTAGGAACCAGTTTGGGGGGGGGATCTCTTTCTCGGGGTGCACATCCAGCCCGTATACAGGGGCTTTTCAACTTATTAAAGAAGCCCAATGCTCTATAAGTATACCACTAGGTGCTGAAAGACCAGTGGTTCTTCTCTCTACCATTCTGGTCTACAAGAGCAGCAATTTCTCATGGGAAACATTGGGAAAGTTACGAGCAGGCCGAGAGTGAGACAACCTAGGTTTTGATGCACCCCTGACATCCTGGGCAATGTATTCAGTGCAGAGATGGCTTTTGAGGCCCACCCACATCAGAGGCTGGGATGCCTCCCAGGGTGCTGTGGCTACATCTTGAAACAGCCACAGTGGGGGATTCATTCACCTCCCTGCCCCCACTGCTCGAGCACCCCATAGCCTGCCACCACTCCACATCTCCAGGAGGTGTGTCTTTTTGTACAGAGAATAATTTCCCCTACTTCCAGTCTCCGGCACTGCAGTTTCCTGCCTCTGGGCCTCATTCCCCTCGGCTCTGAGACCCAGCTGGAGAGACGATGACCACAATGAAATCAATTAAAATTTGTACCAGTCTGCAGCTGAGGAGAGGGGCCACTGATTA